CAGAGACAGATGGAGACTGAGGGGCCAGGGATAAATACAAAAACGCAGGTTTGTGGGGGGTGGGGTCGTGTCTTGGGGAGAGGCACAATCCCTACTCTGTGAAGGTTACCTAACTGGAGACCAGACCCCTGTACATGCAATAGACTGGTTGGCAGAAAACCCCATACAGGCAAGTATTAGCCACCGAGTCTCCATCTTCAAGGTCAGAGAGAGATCTGCAAAAGATGCTGGCTTCACAATAAAGTGCTGCAAGTGGAGTCTTCACGAAAGCCAGCAAGGATGGTGGTATTGATCTGGGAGAGCAATATGTAGATGCCCGGTGACGTCACACGGAACTGTTTTGCTTAATCTTTTATTCAAAAACAACACAGCAAGTGACTGCCTTTTATCACTCCCATCTCACAAAAGAAAAGAGAGAGCTTCGGTAAGGGGCATTTCCTGACCACTAGGCATAGTTCCTAAAGCCGCTGCTGGGGCTACGTTTATTATCATTTAAAACCAGCCATGGTGATAACCCCAGAATTCTTTTTCCCTCAGGATAGCTTTGGCTATCCAGGGTCTATGCACTTCCATGTGATTTTTTAAAAAAATACATTGTGAAGTGCATTGTTGAAAAGTTGTTGGAAATTGCAATGAACCCATAGATTGATTTTGGTATTATAGCCATCTTCACGGTATGCTGATCCATGAGTATGTAAGGTCTTTCTGCCTTCTAGTGTCAACTTTTTTCTACCCTGTTTTAAACGTTTCATTGCATAGGCCTTTTACTTCCTTGCTTATGTATAGTTCGGGATATGTTTTTTAGTCTGTTACAAATGGGATTATTTACCAAGTTTCTGTATGGTATTTTTGTTACTGGTATACAGGAAGGCAGGAAGGTTTTCACAGGTTAATTTTGTATCCTGCCACTTTGCTGGGTTTTTTTTTTTTTTGTTTGTTTGTTTGTTTTCCTTTAGGATATCTTATCTACAGAAGTGCATCATTTGAAAACACGTAATTTGATTTTTCCATTTTTAATCTGTGCCCCTTTTATGTCCTCTTACAGTTCTGAGGCTGCAAGGTATTGCATGAAATAACTGTTGAAAAGAACAGTTACTCTTGATCTTGATTTTAGTGGAAATTCTGAGGTTTCCCTCCATTGAATATAATGCTGACTATAAGTTTGTCATACATAGCTTTGATTGTGCTAGGTTACCCTGTATTCCCAGTATCTTCAGAGATTTTACTACAAAGATGTTCCGCTAAAGTCCTATGGCAAATCAATCTGGGCTTAAACTTGTTTGCTTGGTTTTGTTTTAGATGGGAGGTTTTAAAATGTCATTTCTTTTGATGTATCTAATTTTTAAAAATATCTTAACTTTGGTAGACCATATGCATTAAGAAATTTATCCAAGCTGGGCATGGTGGTGCGTGCCTTTAATCCCAGCACTCAGGGAGGCAGATGCAGGCAAATATCTGTAAGTTCAAGGTCAACCTGGTTTACAAAGTGAGTACAGGACAGCCAAGGCTACAGAGAAACCCTGTGTCAAAAACCAGAAGAAAAAAAAAAAAAAGAAATCCATCAATTTCTTTTAGCCTTTCCAATTAAATAGAACATGGATTTTGATGTGTGTTCTTACAACCCTCTGGATTTCACTGATGACTCTTGTAATAGCTCCTTTTCTACCTCTAACTCTATTAATTTAGTTCTTTTCCTTAATGACACACCTCCTTCAAGGCCACATCTCTAATTCTTCCCAAACAGTTCCACTAACTAGGGACTGAGTATTCAAACATACACTGGCGCTTCCATCCTCATTCAAACTACAGCTGGTCTATCAAGAATGTAGGATAACTTAACTCTGGAAAGCTGGGTAGCTCTCAATAAATATCAACTAGTGCACGTACTATCACCACACAATCTTATTCCTAATAGAAAATATGGCTACATGCACAAAAACTCATTTAGTAGGTAACTGTGGTAATACAGTTTCCAAGCTAGAAATGAACCAAACCACCACTGGATAATGTTGTTTATTCACACAATGAAATACTGTACAATCATGAGAATGAACAATGTACTACTATTGAGTTTGAACATTGCCAAGTGAAAGCCAAAGAATGTACTTTTAATTTCATTCACATAATATTCCAAGCCAGATGAAAAAGGTTTTGCTTGGAAATGGGTGATGGTTACAGATCACAGTCGTCAAAGAGAACTTCCAGCTTCTGGCTTATGAATTCATGTATGTTTTGTCTGTGCGGAATCCCTGATTGCCTATATAGATACAATACTTTAACAGAGGTTAAACAAGCAAATCCACATTCGGCCTGCTGGCTTAATTCACACTAAAGCAGTATTTCCATATCTTAAAGAGACTCTATTGTGCCAATTCATCCACACAGTAAGGTTGGAGGACCAGGTCTCCACACTATGAAGAACAGTCTATCTCTGTCTCTGCCAGGGCACCTTAATTACTAGAGCACTTTACCCAGGAATTACTACACCCAAGTTAAGGTGCCTCAATCACTATCACCCCAAGCTGCAGGACCACCTGTTACACCCAGAAGTATGCAACTCCAGGAGTGAAAGCCTACCGCAAAGTGGGTCTGTTAATGTGGCTTTGGTCTTCGAAAAAGTCTGTGTCCTCTCTGCCATTCAGTCATCACACAGGTCCATTAATCATTAAAGAACTCTACTCAGTCACAGCCTTCTCTTACTGACAAAAGTCTCTAAAGTGCTCAGGGGCACTGAAGTGGTGTGTGAGCCAGCTTGAGGCTCTCTGTGCAGGTTAGGACACCAGAAGGATGGGGAGGGACTGATAACCCCTTAGCTTCTCCCCATCAGCACTGGATACACTGGAACGGAAGTTCCCTGAGTAAATTCTAGGCCCAAGCAATTCCATGTCAGCATTCTAGGTCATAATACAGTGAAGCTTTGTCCCCAAGCCAACTATCTCTAGTTCGAGTTGTGTCATTCTCACAAATGGCCTACGTGATCTTCATTGCAAAGATTTATTTTTATTTATGTGTGGGTGTCTGAATGTACATGCTGGGAACCAAACTCCAGTCCTCAGAAGAGTTGCAAGTACTCTTAACCCCTGGGCCATGTCTCCAGCCCTTGCTCTTCATTTTGAAACTCAACCTTTGAGGGTACAGTGTGTGCAGGCCTGGCAGCATTGGGACAGCTCGTCTGATCCATTTTCATCACCAAGCCCAAGATAAGGGACTCTTCTTGGATCCTACAATGAAAAGCCATACCTTTCTCATCAGATACTACAAGTCCTGACAAAATTAAACATTTATGTTCCAAGAATGCTGGAAAAGTCTCATCTGATGAAAGAAACAACGGAAAAGGCCACCTTCCCATTCTTGTCCTCAAGACTACAACCCGAGTCATTTAATTTCAGCAAGAAGCAGTGGAGGAGTAGAGGCTCAACAGATAAGGACAACACAAAAGAAAAAAGGCAGCTGCTTGAACTGTTTCCTGTACTGTGGCATCATGGGAACTCTCCTACGTCTTTGACAGTAGGTGTAATGACTAGAGCCCATCTCAGACCCCATCCAGTTCTCTCCGATTCCTCAGGAAAGGGCCTGGGAACTCCACATTTCTCTTCTTGTTGTTTGGGATAGCCATCAATTACTCCACCCTTTGAGGAATTCTTCTCTCCTAAAAACAACCCATGGAATGGAATGGAAACGGCAGAAAGAGACTAAAAATTGATGTATCACCTATTAACTAAGATCATGAATTGTGACAAAGCTTTCTCTACCTGCCAAACCATCATACTTAATGGTACCTTCCTCAGGAATAAAATGATTTTAAATTTCTAAGAGCAAGAACTTTTCTCCCCCAACCCCAACCCATGCACCAGGACCTGACTTACCCTCTCATACTAAGAACAGTGATTATACATGAACTGAGATTATGCTTTTAATTTTTTAAACAATTATTTTTATTTTACATGTGTGAGTGTTCTGCCTGCACTATGTGCATGCCTGGTGTCCAGGGAGGCTAAAAGATGATGCAGAGCCCCTGGAACTAGTTACAGATGACTGTAAGCTGCCATGTAGATGATAGCAACTGAACCTAGGTCTTCTGCAAGAGCAGCCAAGGCTATTAACTGCTGAGCCATCTCTCTGGTGCTAAGCCTACTTTTAGAGGAAGTACTACAGATTTTTATAGAAAGTAGCATCTTTGTAAATTGTCCTCTAAGTAAATGAATTTTAAACAAATATATAATCATATTTGCTCTCATGTTTCCTGATACATCTAAAGGCTAGCAAGTTGCTTAAATGTAAGAAAGCAGTTTACATGGGCATCAGTTCTAGAAGTCAATTCTATAATTGACAATGACAATTATGATGGTTGTGAGACAGCATGTAAACACTTGGAAGGCAGCCATGCTGACCACATCAGTGCCACAACAAGTGACTGTTTCAAGAGACAATTAGACAGTGGGCCCTGCTGTGTGAAGTACCAATGTTTTAAGAGTATGTGTTGCTTGTTTGAGACCAAGAAGGACAAAGCCTTAGTAACTGAGGTCTCTTGTTAGTAAAGAGGCATCAGAAGTCGATCTTACATGCTACTCCCGTTGCACTTGCATGTAGACATTTGAAGACATTATGTGACAGAATGACATGGCAAATCTTAAGAATATCTAACCACTGAATCACTGTCCAATGAAGAAAGTTAAACATACCTTAATTACAACCGCAATAGTTGGAGTATATAATTGTTATGGTAAGAAATTCTTAAGAGAATATCAACCATTCCACAATAACTCTATGCTGCCACCTAAAATTTTCTATAGAGTCACATAATTGCAGGGTATTAGCAAATAGTTATTTTATTGAAAGACTGTCAAAATCTAGCCAGGTAGCTCTTATGACAATCTAAAATCAAATTTTAATCTTATAACTTTAGCAATATGTAATGAACACTTACATTCAAATGCATAGAACACAAACCATTTAATCTTGAAAAACACTGTAACACAACTTGAAATGAGTGCATGGTGGCAAACCAGCGTTCTTTGCCAATTCTAGAGTTGTAAAGTCAGCTCTGTAAACACACTCAGCAAATCATAGCACTGTGGAAAGGTCAGTGCTCTGACACGCCTTGTTATAGTCTTTGACAATAGAGAGAAACAATTCTTAAAATATTACTTAAAAATAGATCTTAAAGATGAAGCATTCTTATATACACACACAATGCTAACCTGTCACAGACAGTAAATATCAATTTTATACACCAGACTTTTTGGCAGCATCCTACACACTTAGAACTTACTATTAAAATACACAAACAGTTCTCAAACGTATCTGAGATGGTTTGTTCCTGTGGAAGGATGGAGTGCTGCTCTGAGGCAACTTGCTCAATGCTGTTTCTCAAAGGCAAAAACCAAGTAGATACCTAAAGAAGAGGTAAAGGAAAGCCAGAGTTCAGTTACTCTTATCAACAGGGAAATGTTCTCAAGCAGCACTGGGAAATAAAACGTCAACAATTTTCTATTATTTAAGTTTGGGGGTAGATACATGATCATTTATGTTATTTCAAAACAAAATTCTAGTTCGCCATTTAACACCACTAATAACAAGAATCTGATTTCATAATTTGAAATCACACAATTTGACAGTCCGGATACTAAGCTTTCAATAACAATGAATATTACTACTTCTCAGGGTTTGCTAGTTTGAAGATTTACCTTTAAGCTCTCCACCCACCTTTCCCCTCGTCAGTATTTAAATTGGCAATATTTATGTTTGTTTCTTCCACTAAACTCTAGAAGGCATACTTGTTTGCTTTCTAATTCCCCGAAGTCCTTCCATATAATTTTTGCAAATCAATGTTCAGTATTAAATAGTATGTCTCTGACTACTATTTTGCATTCAGTATAATCTACATACATTTAAAGAGACAATAAAAACTGTGTTCAGGTTCTCAAAACACCCATGTAAAGGATTATAACTCCTTTATCTTAATTTTAAGTATCTGAAAGCGGAAGTCCTCTACATCACTCTGCTACAGAAGCCCAGGACTTCATACACCTGCCAGGACTGTGAAGACACCAGTCTCACGTCAGAATGTGTCTGTAGGACACTTGTTTCCAAACACAAGCTCTATATGAGCCCTGCTTACTTTGCTTTCCTTAGGGTTCTATACGCCCCTTCTGCTGTCAACAGCTGAATGGCCAAATTAAGTTATATGCACGGAAGGCCAAACAATTCAACAGAATCCTGAGGTGAAGATAAAGGCAGCTGCTTATTAACAAGTATTTGGTGAAAATACTTACGTATCATAGCCTACACATATATTTTCTTGTCACTATGCAAATGGACAAATGGATATATGCATATATGTGGGAGATAGGTGTTTTGATATATCACCATAAATACAAAATGTATAAGAAAAAAAATCTAAATTTTTCAAGTTTTAATGATTCCTTACAACAGAATCACAGAAATTGTCAGTTAGCTGAATGATATACTCACTTGTAGCTTCCCATTCTGATTTACTTAAGGTTCCCTAAAATTTTAGAAAAAAGAAAGTTTCAGATTCAATACAGAAGAAATTTAAGCTTATTTTCTATTAGAGGATAGAGCTGGCAAAATCTTCACTTACTTCACTTTAAAAATACATAAAATTATAAGATACACATCTAAAAACTATCGGTAAGATTAACTTTCTGAAAAAAAAATTTAAAACATAGTCTCAATGTATATATTCAGTGTCCCTGGTATTAGGGACTGGCAAATGTTTTAGCAAGAAAACACAAATTTCTTTATACTCCTAGTAGTTGTTGGGGAGGAGAGTTAATAACTGAAACAAGTATCTTCCTTGAATCTATAACTTAAAAATGAAAAACTTAACATCATATTTTACCAAAAGAACCACTAAGTATGCATCGTCAAATAAATTACACTTGCCAAAACTTGCAACATTTCAGTATGGGAAGGTATGTGCAGTTTTGCATAGGCCACTGACGTCATATGATCTAGTGTCAGTTCTAGGACCTCCCGAAAGCGTGAAGAAATTATGAGTGAAGAATAGTCTAAGGCATCAAGAGAAACATGCTGTGTGAGTGTCTGCAGTCTTCACTTAGACCATCATAGCTTGTCTTACCATCACAATCTTTTTAACTGAGAGCCTGACCAAAGAAGTCAATACAAAAGAAAATACTCTATTCTTCATGTCCATTCAAGTACACAGAGCTCAAAATTCCCTCTCGATACTGAGTTGGCAAGGATCTTGCAAACCAAGCCTGTGATTCTTCCCCACCCTTAGCTGCCTCATAAGAGCTCTCTTTATGCTATTCACTGAAATAAACATCTTTTACATTCTATAGCATCAAAAGCTTCACAACTCAGGGAAAACAGATTATTACTTGCAAGTCTGTAATCCAGTTAGTCTAAATATTGTGAATAAGTGATATAACCCAAGTCTCCATACAATACACGCTCCTTTCCTGACTGTGAAAGCTAGAAACTCACCAGAGGCAGCCTCACTTGACTGTTCTTCATGTACTCTGCTGCATGCACGTAGTCACCCACCTTCTCAGAGGCAAGTTTACAGTTCTCATTTGCAGGGTATGTCTAAGGAAGCAAATGCAAATTCTAGTTAAGAGCTCTCACTGCAATTGTTAACAGTTTGACAGGGTAAACGACTGAAACAGTAAGAATAATCCTTACGTACTGTTTCACAACTACAAGTGTTTTTTTTGTTTTTTTTTTTTTTTTTTCTTTTTTAAGATGTGTAGGTGTATAGGTACCCACAGAGACCAGAAGGCCCTTGGGGATCCAGAGGCTAGAGTTGCACCAGACAGCTATGAGCCACCTGATACAATGTTAGGAATCAAACTCAAATCCTCTGCAAGAGCAACAAGAGCTCTGAACTACTTACTAAACCATCTCTCTAGGCCTTATACACAGTTTTCACATAGAAGAAAAAGGTGGGAGAGGGAACTAGCTTTAAAAGTAGCTATGCTGGCCAACTTCTATCATCTTAGATGACTTACAATTTGGATGAACTATATAATTTAATTCTCAAGAAGGGTCATTCACAGAAACCATCTATCTACATCTTAACTTCTGCTAAAGGGCTTTTCTGTTAAAAGTTAAAAAACTGTTGGGAAAAAGTAGTATTCTAGAATACTTCACATGCTATGTTTAATTCATTTTAAGCAATATATTTTTATACTACAAAGTAGTCTTTAGTATTTAGTCTTTAGTCTTGAGCTGGATGTAGCCACTTTAAAACCTAGCTTGTCCTAAGAAACTTTCCTGAGAATTACTCACAAATGTCTACTTTATTCTCTTTCCCCCATTTTCTTTAGGGTATGTGTATGTGTAGGCCAGGGGTCAACTTTGTTTGCGATCATTCACCTTATTTTTTGAAATAGGGTCTCTCCCAGTTCTGGAGCTCAGTGGTTAGGGCATCTCTGCCTTTACAATTAGACACCAGCAATTGTGCCCAGCTATTTTATAGGTTCTAGGGCTATCACTCAGGTCTTCCAACTGAGCCATCTCCTCAGCCCCTTTCCCTTTTTGGAAAGAAAGCTATTTATTTGCTGTTTAGAGTATACTGTGTTGCTGTGCCTGATAGCATATGCCTATATTCCCAGTAGTCAGGGGATAGAGACAGGAACACTGCCTGTTCTTAGACAGCCTAGACTACACAATAGGAGCTTTTATGAAAAATAAAACACAAAATTACATGGCTTTGTGGGACTTGCATATTCTTAGCATTCACAGCTTTATTTATCCAATCTTAACAAAAGCAATTACATTTTTGAGTTTCACTCTCTTGATTTTCGTGTCGCCATATCACAAAGCTTCAGAACTTTATTTTGAATAGCTCGCATTCATTCTGTTGTAATCCAGTCAAGTCATTAGTTACTGACTCCTTTACTGACAGATGACCCAAGTAAATGGTGAGAGCTACAAATCTGCCCTCCCCGTCAACAACCACCACCTTACCAAGTGTCTGAGTGAGTATTTGTCCTCAAAGCAGTCACCCTTCCAGAAGTGTTTCCCAACGAAGTTCCAAGTGAGAACAAAGGTCTGACTGTTGTGGTTCTAGTCCCTGGGCCCTTAGCCTCCCAGTTGGCCTTCCTCCTCTGAATACTATGGGAAAGCAGCAAAGGTCTAGTGCTGAAAGCCTGGGCAGCCAAATGCTGCATGTTTCAGAAGACCTCTTAAAATCTCTGACTTGGACTAAAGACCATTCTTTCCACCCTTGGTCTCACTATCCCTCCAAACTGTCCTCCATATCCCACCCAAGCAACAATGTCCTTCACAGGCACACAGGAGCTTAGTCAAGAAGTAAACCAGCAAAACACTTTTCCAACCAGCAAACTATTTCTGTTTATGCTCCTCCATAGAAAGGGTCATAGCCTCAAGGGCAGAATGAAGGAGAAAGCAAACTGAAAAAGCAGTGTGCTTATGACAGGAAGTTATTACTTAACACTTCAAACATCCCATTTTCTAACGCCTCTGTCTACATCCTTGCTGCATTCCTTTTTATATACTCACTGCCCTTTGAATATTTCTTCTCTTTTGTTACCCACTCTTACACTGTACTAGATTCAATGCCTGTGTCTTGATCTCACTTAAAACAAAACAAACAAACAAACAAAAAACCCTAAGATCCTTCTTCTCTTGCAATCTAGTTACCTAAACAAATTTTAAGGCAGTAACAGAAATCCACTGTTTATAGACTGAAAGGAATCAATGACCGTGCATGTACTATCCATCTGAGAAGGGCGATGTGCAAACATATGAGGATTACAGCTTCCCCTTTTCCTTTTTACCTCAGGACAAGCTCTTACCCGAATACAAAGCCAATAAAAACATCCATAATTCTAAAACATGGGACACATACAAAAACATTCTTAATTCTAAAAGACAGGCTGTATAACTGATGAAGTTAATTAATTCTAGGTTTCAAAAGTCAACTAGAATTTCAAGAAAATGCAAGGGAGTAACTATGGTCGCAACTTCAAGAGAACAATGATGGACACCCAAAAAAGTCTAATTATCTAACAGCTAGGTGACCTTGAACCTTCCTAAGCATTAGGCTGCCTGATTTAAAAAAAAAAAAAAACTGATTGCTTTGCTTCTTTCATGGTTGAATATAAGCAGGGCAAGCTAGGCTTCAAGTACTTAAAGTAATATTCTAAGCTGCTGGACCCCACACCTGTGGCCCAGCACTCAGAAGCAAGAGGACTGCTACAAGTTTCAAGACTTGCATCTGCTCTACATAATGAATTCCAGGCCAACTAATACCACAGAATAAGACCTCATAACAAACAACAACAAACAAAGAGAATATTAATATTTAAAAATAAATCACCATCTTAATTTTGCATATGAATTTAACAAATAACAAGCACACTGACTACTTTCTATCTGCTTAATGAAAGGAAATGGGAAAGCAACCAATGCCTGCGCAACTCTCACTGCTGTACTAGGAGAAGGACAGAAATTATGTAGGGCATATGAACCATGTGACCAGGGGCCTGGAGCAAGTGTGAGTTCAAGACACATCCAAACCCCAACAATCTCATCCTGAGACCGGAAGGAGTAAGGATCACTCCCTCCCTGTTCAATGCCTGCGTGTCCCAGTGCATGTAGTCTTGCTTTGCCATCTCTACCAACTACTGAGGTAGCCACAGAGCCTGGTGACCAGGTATTGGGTTTCCTCATAAGGACATCTCCAGCTAGCACCTGGAATCCCTCTCCATGCAAATAAAACATTCCCAGCACCTCAGCCCCAGGCAATGATGTACTTTCACTACCCACTTCCCCAAGGTTTCTATAACCCTTATTCTCCCAATAAAAAGAGCTGGATCACTGAAAGAGCTACATCAAAGAAGGCGTTCTCCTCTCTGGGCCTTCACTACCAGACCAAGATGCAGCTCACCGACCCGCCTACCCAGCTTGGCGTCATTCCTTCGAGTCCAGCATCTGCACACATCCAGGCCCAGACATCACAAAGGGAAGAAACAGGACCTTGGCTCTTGCCTTGGCCTCAGTATATGGCAAATTACCAAAGCATCACCAGAGTCATCAGAACGAAATTACACCTTGGTATGTACTTGCTACCTAGGCCCTGGCCAGGAGGTCCTCAACTGCGGACCTGGTCACAGAGAACTGTTCTAGATAGGAAGTCTCAATTTTACCCAAAAACATGCCTGTCGCAGAAAGGACACAGGTGCTACAGGTAAGCACTAATAGGTGGAGGCAGGAGGGCTCTCAGTATAACACCAGAGCACAGACACGGTTCTTTCCAGTCCACACTGCCAACAGCTCTGGGTTAAAGTAGGACTACCTAGGAAACAGAATCTGATTAGAGTACCACTCATTCATTCACCAAGTGTTTACGAGCATCCATGGAAGAGTCTGCATCAGCCTGTCTCAGACGGTAGAACATCTGCACAACTCCAATCTGTCTGAAGAACTTTGAAAAAAGCCTAGAATACCTAACATATTCACCAAGTCCTAGCCCTTCATGCCTTTTCTGTGTACTTACCTCCAGGGCCTGCATTCGTTTTAAGAGCATTTTGTTTTCACCGTTCTTGATTTTTTCTTCATAGAATTCCAGAAATGTTTTTTTATAGATGAGCTTCATATTATACTTCTTTGCCATTCTGTCCAAAAAAGATTAATGGAAAGGCTTTCAAATGTTTGTAATTTCTTTAAAAAAAATCATTTTACCGCATTTACGTTTAAGTGTATTTGAATGTGTGGGTGGGTGGTCAGAGTACAACTGGAGGGCACTGGCTCTTTCCTTCTACCATGTGGGTCCCAGGGTTTGAACTCAGGCCACCATGCTGGGCAGTAAGTGCATCTCCCCCACTGAGCCATCTCTCTAGTCTTTTAATGTCATACTTTTTAAGTGACAGCAGTAACATCTGGGTTTAACTAAAAAGCTATTTACTTATGTTAAGCAGAATAATATCAATGAAGGATGAGTAAAAACTTACATGCCTATGAGGAAACAAGCATTCTAAAGATCCATACGCTTGAAGACAGGTTTTCATTCAGCGTGACAAATAATTCATGAAGAAAGGGTCATACAGAGCGCTGTTCTATAAAATCTACTTTATTAATACCCCATGGCTGCAAATGAAGCTAACATCTTAAAATATGCATTCTCTGGTAAGATAAACTATTATTTCCTATCAAAACTATATCTGGATGGCTTCTTTGAAGACTGTTTTATAGTTTCCCTTTAATGCAACTTCTAAATGTTAAGGTTTTATAGTTTGTTCCAGAACCTATTTACTTTTCTATACCATCTACAGAGAATGTTGGAAGCTGTCTGGAGGACAAAGACTCCTATTTGAGCAATATGAATGGGTTTTTCAGTAAATTAATTACATTATTGTTTCATTTCTTAATTAAATGACAAGAAGCCATCTTAACCTCAACATTTTTACTTAACATTTGCATCACCAAATACTTACACAAATAAATACATTTTAAAAAATGATACATTAGGCTGTAGCCATTGGTTTTCTTGGTGGAACTATTATGTCTCTCATCCCACCATACTGCACTTCCCCTGACTCAGCCCCAGGAAGGAGGAACACAAGCAGGCTATCTCCTCAGCTCCCCACAATGAGCTTTGGTTCTTGATCCCACGTGACACACTGCTGATAAGGTCCCTTTTCCACTCCCCTCAACTCCACAACCCGAGCACTGGCCTACACTTAGTATCTGGATACCTCAGCCACACCTGAACCTGTCCAGAGACCTCAGTGAAGCAATCACACACACACTGAATATGAGTAATCTATTGAAAAACTTACATTGAAATCACCTGAGCCTCACAAATCACAAACCAAAATAAGTTTAATTAAGAGAACTGTATATGCCTCCTACCTAAGCTAAAATCAGCCATTAGTTGACAGCAAAAAAGAGGAACAGATTCCCACTCAACATGGGTGGACTAAGGAACTCCCATCAAACACATAATCAACAAACTAACTCCAGATGACCAGGCCTCATCACAGAACACAAACAATAGGAAAAAGACCTGAGAACATGGGCAACTCTTCCCGTAATAGGTTACATCATTGTCACCATCATCATCATCACAACAATAGAAAAGGCCGTTAGTTCATGAGGATAATGTGGAAGGAACACAGTTTGGAGAAGGAGGGGATGGATTTGATCAAAACTGTAACTCCTACATAAAATTCTAAAAAAAAAATTAATGAGATGAAAATAATTATATGTTAAAGAAAGGAGCTATAACTTACTAAAATTATTGTGTTCAAGCAATTTAAGTAGAAAACAATGAGTTTGCTCAGCACTGAAGAACAGTATTTGTCACTTTATTTTCTGGGGTCTACTAAAACTACTAATTCTGATAAGCAAAAACATCAAGCTAACAGAGAAAACAATTTTTTAAAAAAACTAATTTTTTCTTTTATGAAGTTGAAGGGTTTATTAAGTTTTAAAATAAAAAGCAAATTGTTTTAAAATTTTAAATTTTGTAAGCAGCTTGTATCTGTTACACTGTATATGGTATTTTCATGGCCTGTCATGTCTACTTTACTTGATCTTCTCTTTTCCTCCTTTCCTCCCTCTTTCCTCAGCTCTCTACTTTCTTTCCTTGTTTTTGAGACAGTCTTACACTAGAGCCGCAAACTCACAGTAGTCCTTTCAGTCTCTTCAGTGTAGGACTACAAGAATGAGCCACTCACCTGGCATGAGGTCCTCACATTGTACTAACTCATGAAAACTCTATACTCTGAATTTTACAAGGTGACTGGGTCTAGATTAAAATAATCACCAGCCAAATCTGGTAAGCAAAACCTCCTGCTTCCTCGGTTAATATTCAAATAGAAGATCTTTGTTTTCAAAGAGTATGAAATTTGATCACCTGAATATAGCCTCCATCTTTTATTATATTTTCCTGGCAGGGAAATCCTGCAGGTTAAGCCACACGATAAAGTCCAGAACCTTCAATTTCTCCTGTACTTGCAGTTCACCAGAATTCTTGGGAATTAATGTGCATGAGGTGATACACCCATGAATCAGGAATGTATAATCAACCTGTAAGAAACTGGGCACGATGGTACATGCCTTCAATCTGGCAAGTAGATCTGTGAGCCCAAGGCCAACCTGGTCTACATAGCAAGTTCGAAGAACAGCCATAAATACGTATCAGAGACTCTGTCTCAAAAAGATAAAAACAAAAAAAAAGAAAGAAAAACAAACAAACATAAAACCAAAGTCACTGGGCTAATCCAAAGGCAATTTCAAAGCTATCCTGAAATAAAAAGTTTTGATAACCTCTTTCAAAAAAAGGATCTTGGATTTATGAATACTCATTTTTATATTACCAAAGCTGTGTTTGATACCTGTAGGGTTAGTTATCTTCTGCCTTGATTATAAGCAGTCAGCTCCCTTCTCTTAGGAAAGATAGTTATTTAAAGTGGACACCAATTCTGCAGCTAAGGCTTTTTCTTGGTGTTACATTTAAAATACAATATGAATGTCCCCTTAGAACAAGGGATGAGGGGAAAGAAAAAGCAACAGATCAAGACATTCTTACTCAGTTAGCAATGGAAAATAGACCAAGAATTCAGGAACATCCACAACACCTTCCAAGTTGAAGTCATATTTGCAGCCAAATAAAGGATAATTTCCTTTCTTCTGGAATTTCACAGTGTATATTTCATTTCCAAATGATTCTGTTTCTGAAGCTTCAAGGCGTCTTCTATTAGGTTGTTCCACAACCAAAATAAAAGAATTATGATTAAGATTTTTGATCCTTTCAATCTTATCATACATGTGAAAAACTACATTATGCAATTTTAAAAGGCACCTGACTATTTCAATTGGATTCAAGTCACTTACATCAGCTCGAAGCTATTGGGAGTAGTACCAATAAAGTAGCCCCCAGGGCTAAGCCTTCCACAAGCATTTCTAAGCATCATATCAGCTTGCTCCAAGGACTCAAAGGAATAATGACAAGCAAACTGACAGCTGCAGATATCAAAGTACATTTCTGGATCATGGAATTTTTCAACCAAAAGTTCCTGTAACAAATGTAAATGGTAAATGGGTTAGTATTTCAAACTAATTACAAGATAGATTAAAAGTTTTTAGTAAATTACTAGAATTTAGGAGTCTTTAAGTAAATATACCCTGATGGTAACCAATAGTTTTCACCAACCTTTTATTTATTCTTTTTCTTGTCATGTACATATTACAAGGACCATTTAAGAAAAAGTATTCTAACCTGACCTAAAAAAATGTGCAGGTATGGGTAGATAGCACAAGTGAAAGTCGGGGGAAAGAAACAGCACCACAGAGCTCACTGGCCAGCCAGCATAGCCTAGCCAAGGTTCCCCAGCGCCCTGGGAGAAACCCTGTCTCAGAAAACACAGAGCAACACTCAAGGTTCTCGTCTGGCAACCACACACAAGTGCACTTGCCCACCTACCCAACACATACATATAAAATAACCTTGCCTCTCATTTTCATGGAGATTAAAAAATGCGGAGAATCTAAAGTGTTAAAAAATGTCAGGCCAGAGAGAAACTCAGCAGTTTGGGTTCCTGGGATACATGTAACTCAGGGCAAAGGTAGGATGTGTCAGGGGCCCCACCATTCTTAAGGTGAGATAAGGTGGACACAGGAAAATCCTCTGGAAGCTCATAGGTCTGGGATCTAAAGAAGAGCAACAAATAAGGCATGACCTCAAAGAAGGTGGAAGGTGAAGACTGAGCTGGAATCCCCTGACCTCCTGTGGCAGCTATGTCACAAGTAGACACTGCTCCCCACACACATAAGAATAATAACAACTCAGTTGGTCTTGAAAAAAATATAAAAATAAACTAACATTCAACAATAATTTGGGTAATCAAAAACAAACAAAAAAATAACCCTTTGGCATCTAAAGGAAATAGCACTTAATTTTTCACCTTTTAAACAGCATATTTTTCATCCTCATTTTCCAGGATGCAAACATATGACGAAACATGTACCATTTAAATGTTTTTAAATATAATAATACTTAAAGAACATCAAGTTCCCAGGCGGACAGCAATTCAATTCAGAATTTTAGGAAATCAACAGAAAGTGAAAAACAATGATTCTGATATGACAGGAAACCATCCTCATAAACTTACAAGGTGAACAAAACACACTTGTAAGTCCAGGCCTATTGCAAAATAAAGCAGCCCTTCATATTCTTAGTTTCTGCAACAGTGAATTCAACCAATGACAGATTAAAGATGAGAGGTAATTTTTTTAATTGTTATACATTTCTTTTCCTTGATACTTATATCCTAAACAATATAACTATACAGCATTTTCAGTGCATGAGGTACAATAGAAAAATCATCTAAACATTCTTTTAAAGTATACATGAGGATGTATGAGTTATCCACAAATACTATGCCATTTTTATATAGGTGACTGCACTTCTGTAGACACTGGGGATCCTAGAACCAACTCCCAGGGGATACTAAGGGATGCTATTAGAAAACAAATCTTGCCTAAATAAAAAAGCAACCAAGTGATTTCAAAATATCCAACTATTAAACATACAACTTTCCTAAAAGTATCAAGGCTTATCATAGCAGGATTTCTAGTAGCAATTGAAAATGCATGCCTTAGGATTTTTAATGTTTCTATTTACATTTTATCAAACGAGTTAATTTTAAATACTGGAGAGGCAGGGTGCCCAAGGCCCTGAATTTGATCCCAGGATTGTAAAAAGAAAACAAATTTTAAAGGATGAGGTTGGAGAAACGGCTCAGCAGTTCAGAGAACTGGCTGCTCTTTTAAAGGACCCAGGCTGGATGCCCAGAACCCACATGGAAGCTTGTAAGTATCTTTAATTCCAGTTCCAAGGGAGTCAGTGCCCTCTGCTGGCCTCCATAAGTAGCAGACACACGTGATACAAGCAGCACATATGTAGGCAGACACTTATCATATAAAATAAAAATAAATCTAAAAATGAAAACAAAAAAAGTACCTTTGAACAGTCAGCAGTTATAAATTCTGCACTAAAAATATTCTCACTATCACGACGACATTTCATGTCTTCATAACGCTGCTGACATTGTTTCATAGAAACATCAGCAATATCTGGAAGGGTAAAGGGTGTTAATAAATGTCAACACAGAAAAGCAACTCAACTGATAAACTGTGGCATGAAATCCAGGTGTACGAGAAGGACAAGGTTGTAGGGTTCTATCTAGTTCCTTTTAAATGAAGGCTTTGTTTTCTATTCCAGTGCAAATGTCCAATCACATTCCATACAGAATAAGCAGCTTCTGGGTTCCTGTAGAGCAGCTTTCTTAATAGTACTTATACTAGTCAAGTATGTGTGAAAGTCAAAGGACAGCTTTCAGGAATTGGTTCTTTCCCTCCATCCTGGGTTCTGGGGACTTATCAGGCTTAGACATCAAGGACTTCTATGCACTGAGCCATCTTGTCAGCCCTGGGTTTTAAATATGAGGCAGAAGACTTAGATTCTAACTTGAACTATAAAACCCAACAACCATCTATAAGCTCATTTTGTGAAATACCAAGTTACTGTTTTCATTCTGAAAAAGCTTCTGTTCTTGCTCTTGCTATGAGATTTGCACTCATGACAGGAAAACAATGATGGGTAAAAACATGCAAAGCAGTGGCACCGATAGTGCTGTGGAGGAGCCCCATGTTCTTCATATAAAGCCAGTTTTCATTTACAACTTCTTTCTTATGGGAGGGACTAGGCCTGGCCTCCAACAAAGAGCGGACTTTTCTTGTTACTAGGAGAACCATCACATCTCCTGAGTTGTAAGCCGACATCATCATGTGACCAAAACAAGTCATTTTAACTTTAAAAACTTGCTATCAAACTATCACATATGTATTTTTAAAGAACAGGGTCACTTCAAGCGACACAATACATAGTACTTATTGTTACAGATAAAATTTGACTCTTCCCCCCCAAAAAACTTGTATCAACCACTTTTGTGTCTGGCAATAATATGAAGCAAATGTGATTTCTTGCTGTTAGCCACAAGGCAACTTTAGTTAACACTATTTTCCAGGTATTTTGAAACCATTCTGGAAATACAAGACAGACCGAAGAATCTGAAACTGGGGAATACATAGCATTTGTCAGTAAGGCTTCAGGTCCACATCATGACTAATCTTATAGAACTGCCACTGCTAACATCTCACCAAAGATGAATAACTGCAACTATCTGAAAAAGGCTAATGCCACCTTTCCTTTACAACTACTTATTCACCAAAATAACAAAATGACTTGCTAAATGTAAAGACATTTGTCAACGTCAACTTGCCAGATTCTCACTAAAATTTGTACAAATTAAAAATCGCAGCCTCAATTTCTAACATGGTCAAGCATCAACAGCTATAGCCACACATAAAATTATTATTCTTCAGTAATTTTTTTTTTAGTATATATGACTCATCAAATTAAAAAAACTGAGAAGACTACTGATCTGGGTAGTACTTTCGGAGACAATGCTGCTGTACTTCCTGTGGTCCCTCAAATAGAAAGAATATGATACCTGGTGGGCGTAAGGTAACATTAGCTGTATTACAAAACCATCAGAAAAAAATCTTACCTAATTTTTCAAAACACCTATTATATGCATGGGTCCCAAGAGAAAAAGGTGCCTCAAGATACCTTAGCATCATGTTGGCAAGGAGACCCTTTTAGTTTCCGATTCACCTAATTAACCAAAATAACTGTGACCTTTAAGACACTTAGTTATTATTACTGCCACTATATCTATGCATGTAAGCAAGGGAGAGACCGTGCCTAAGCAAGTGTTTTCCTTTCCTCCTTTATGTGGGTTCCAGGGACTGAACTTGGGAGGTTACACCTGCTTTTAGCCATTGAGCCATTTCACTGGCCCCCAAAATAACTCTTCACCATGTCAATATCTATCTTACCAGCACATACTAGCCTGCCAATTCTCCCCTTCCTCCACTTGAGCAAATCTCCACCTTTTCCACATCCCAGGTCCAGAACAGTGATGTCACGACTTTTTCTTTGTCGTACCTTTTCTAAAAATTCCCCTAAAAAGAGAGAAATAAGTCATAATGCATTTTCTGTATTTTTACTATAGCAACTTCTTTAAAACCTTCTGGCTGACACATCACAGACAATAATACATTAATGTAGTTAATTTGTAATTTGATATTCCAAAATCTAACAAAGAATAACTAACTCGATCCTTTACCATTAAAGAGTACACATATCACTTTACAAGGTTAAAATGTTTATTTGAAGGATACTTTCAAAATCTGAATCAACATTAAGTAGATAACATTTAAGTTATAAAAAAAAAACACCTGTAACATCTACAATAAGAGAAAAACTAACTTGTACTTCTTACAGCTTTCTCTGTCTCTTCCTCTATTTATCTCCTTACACACTTACTATGGAATGATAATAGTAATTTATTCTTATTCTCTATAGTCAGGCTTAAGAACTCTTCAAAAAACTATAACGATCTTTAACCTCAGAAAGAGGCAGAAGTCCAAACATTAGTTTGAAAGGCTTCTCTTATACTTATTTTCCCTATTTTCTTAGTCTGTGTTTTAATAATTTATAATTTGTGTTTGCTATTTGGGTGACTAAAATATCCAGTACAAATATTTCTGCCTTTCAATGCAGAAATGAAACTAGCTTTCAATAGAAGCATAAGTATCTTATATTTAAGTCTCTGTCATGAATATTATATACTTATGCACCAAAACAACAAAATGACCTTTAAATGTAGAAACATCTGTCAAAGCCAACTTGCCAGAATTTCCATTAAATTTTACTTGTATGAATTAAAATCTGACAAAAAGAAAAAACAAAAAACTTCAACTTAAAATCTACTCTTAAAATTTCTCTAAACTAACATACAAGTCTCATTTAACTAGACAGAGAAAGCAATACTTAGTTTCTAAGTCATGTTTTCTCTACTCATTTCCATTTTAATTTTAAAGGTAAGTTTCCACAGACAAGATGTTAGCTCTAAAGGTGTATGTCTTGATCAGTCCTCAAAGTATGCAGTATTTTCCCCAAATAATCACATAAAACAAACAAGCTCCATGATACCTGTTCCCAGTTCCCTCAAGGCATACAGGTAAAGGGATAATACCGGCTTTCCCTTGCCACAATAGAAACTCAACGTTCAGTCCAACATGCCACTACACTAAAGCTCTTAGTAGAGGATTATGTAATAGCCTTGGGTAACATTAACTCTCAGTATAAAGGGCACTGCCAAATTAAAGTCCATTCACCTTAATTTCAACTAAGCATCACGAATACCCCATACAATTAACCAAAAACAAACTGTAAAATCATTTACCTCAAGAGCCTACTTTTAACTCTCTAGTTTTTTAAAACCAAAGTGTGAGCACGAAGTAAAAATAAATGACGGCCTTCGTAGCTTTATATATGATTTAAAACATGAGGGGAGAACACAAAAGCAAAGAAATGGGCTATGGGTACAGGTGAGTTGCAGAGCCCTTTCAGCAAATGCACCTTGGGCTCAATGTCCAGCCCTATGCAAAGCAATTTAATTCAACAAAATTTTCAATCTTTCATCTAAAGAGCAAAAACCAATCATACCAATAAGAATGCTTTTAATCCAATTATTAAAGTTTCTTAGGTAAAAAATTCGACTTTGACTACGCTTCTCCAAGCCAACTTCCTGAAGTTCATTATAGTGGGCAGCCACGGTAGAGCTGTGTCCTTCCTCCAGCTTCTGAAAACGAAAGGGACAGAATCAAGGGTTAGAGCATGACCTGAAAAAAAAAAAGCCTCACACTTACAGACCAAGCAAATACCGCTGAAGGGAACTTCACAGAGCCATGGCTGGACTCCTCACTATCTCACCTAAGAAGGATCTCCCTGATTCTTTACGAAAAGTCTCCCCAGCTTAGGTCTGTGCTGTGATCCTCACCTATATAATTTAAGGCTAAATGTTCTAAGAAAACTACTATTCTTCCAAAGTTTTGATTTATTCAACTTAATAAGTTATAGTCAATGGATAAATTTCCTAAAAGGGAACAAAAAAATAAGCTATTATACTTTTTTAGTAGGAATTTATTGTGATGGGTACATAATGCATTTATAGGGGAGTTAGAATTTAGTAGGTTACACTCATTATCAGTGACCTTTATTACACATTAATAATCTAATGAAACAAGTTTCAATCTGCACTTAGTAAACCCTACTCATTCTATAAAAAAAATTCCATACTGGGTAAAGGCCTTCAGCTTCTGACATCTAACTTTTCAAAGCACCTAATTCTTTTACTTTACATATCAAATTTGAGGGTAAAATTTTACTTGAAAAAAAAAAAAATCCGCCAGTGTTAAAGTTTAACATGTAAGCTTACCTTTTTACAAAGATACCATTGGTGAAAGCCTGGCCTGCTACTTTCTTCTTCAGGCCTGATAGCAAAATGTTACTAATTTGTAAAGTATTCTTTCTCTCCAATCCCAGATTCAGCCTCAAAATCCTTTCCTATATGGTAAATGCTTGTTATCCCTAGCTCCATATCAGCCTTCTGCATCAACTTAAACCAAAATTATACTAAATAACTATGTAAACCGAACTAGAAGCTGGAAGCTATTACAGTTTACCACATTAATAAAGGAGAATAAAGCTGGGCACAGTTTTGACATTTATTACTTTAAGTGATCATCTGGCTACTTGAAACAACCCAATAAAAAAAAGAAAAAATAAATCAACTGGGCCATACACACTGCCATCTTTAAAAAAAAAAAATTAGTAAAAAGCAAAGTATAGAAATTAGCTTTTACAGCTCTGGTCAAACAAGAGTTTCAAAATAATATGAAAATTATCCCAGCACAACTTTCACCTTAACAAAATTTTAATTTTAAGAGTTAAGAGTCTATTGTGCCTTAAGATTATACTTATTTAAAAGCAAAACATTCTTAAACTGTTTGTTTAAATACATATGTACAGCTGTTCCATCTTCCTGGTCATCACACTGAATTAAAAGTAAAAAATAAAAATCGCAGCATACCCTCCGTTTTTTTCCAACGTCCTCGGGTTGGGTGACCCTTCCAGAAGAAGGCTCATCTTCACAAACGTCACCCCTTTCCAGCTTTCTTTTCTCTGAAACATTTCCATCATCAGAGCGTTTTTCCTCTAAGATGATTTCAACATCAAATTTTCTTTTCTTGGATGAAGAGTCTTCCACGTGCCTTGAATTTTGCTCTGCAAGAAAATCTTCACACTCTTTGCTCAGTTTTGGTTGATCTACTTGCTGGCATGTAGGAGTCTTTTCGGAAAGCCTCTGCCCAGATGCAGTGATGCTTTCATTAACGCTTGAAAGAGATTCTGTTTCAGAATCTATAGACACTTTTGTCTTTTCAAAAGACATCTTTTCATATTTCTCTGCTTTTGCAGAACTTTCCATTTCTGGTTACTTGAACTGACAGCAAAACTTCATGCAACAACACTGGAATGGTTATAAAAAAAGATATTATGTATAAACACTAATGCTAAGACTGTAAGATAATCTCAATCATGCAGGAATGTCTAACCTGTTGCAGGATACTTTATCCCACTGTGAACCCCCAAACTGTCAACTGTAAAACCCTGTGTTTTATTTGGTGTGGTTGAGCCCTACCACAAAACTTCAATCCAAGAACTTTCTGTTTATTGTACAGGTGATTATATTGTGGTTCACCCAGCCCTAGCACATCTTTAATCCAAGAGTTCTCTTTTTCTATTCACAGGATTTAATAAAGTTAACCCTAGGTCAAGAGGTGGAGAAAGAAACCAGCTGACAGAGATTAAAGAATAGGAGGGACTTTGAGTAGAGGGGTATTTAAGACAGCATGGAGAAGTAGAAAAAAGCTTTTAGCTTAAGCTCTTGGCTTTAGATTAGGCTTCAGCTCTTCAGCTTCCCTGGCTTTTTTGGGCTTTGAGCTCCCAGGACTCTGGCCTTGGGTTTTTTGGCCTTTTCCTCCTGGGCTGTCAGAAGAGCTAATGAGCTCTCTGGGTCTTTTCCATCCGGACATGAGCTGAGTAGGAAAGTCAGCAGGGTGTTTTCTCTGCCTTCTCAGTTAGAAAGTTTTCACACCAGCATCTGGTTCCTGAGTCTTTATTGGTAAAATAGAATGGCTGGGGTTTTCGTTTTTGTTTATAACAACACTAACCTATGTCCCAGTATCATTTACAACCATTATAGCTACGAGTGGGGCCCAACACAAAAATCATGAACTGAACAACGCAATTCTCAAGCACGAAGTTTGTAGATGACACTGTTTCATAATGTCCAAAGGCTGTACACACTGGGACTAAAAAGAAATGCTTATATATGCATAAAGTTACAAATATATAGTGTTAACTAGAATTCTTCCAAACATCTACAATTTTATTTATAAAAATCACTATGTACGTTAAAAAAGACAAATGAAGTTAAGATACACAAATACAGGTTTGGCATCTAAATTCTAAAATTCTTGGAGTAGCCATGAGGTATATACTCCATTAACAAGCAGGTTTTGTTTTGGTCAGTTAATAACTAAACATTCCTCCTACCTTGTGTATATTAATTTTTACACAGACATAAATTTGTTAGTACATACTTGTTAAGTTCTTTAGCCTGTTTAATTAACGGAACTGTTAAGACATTGCCTTGGTATATGAGTATGAAAGTATTCCCCCACAGGCTTTGGTGCTTGGTCCCCTCTAGTGGAGCTATTTTGGGAGATCCTCGAGATATGAACTTGGGGACTAGTTTGGAGCAGTCACTGGAGAGAAGTTATGCCCACCCTTGACAACTTCCTTTCTGCCTCACTAGGAAATGAAGCTCCTTAGCCCCACACTACTGTTGCCCATGGTATTCTGCCCAAAAGCAAGGAGCCAAACAATCACAAACTGAAACATCAAAAAAACACAAGCTAAAGTAATTCTTCTAAGTTAAACCGCTTTCTCTGGCAACTGGTCACAGCAATACAAAAGTAACTACGACTAGTACCTGAGAAGACCCATCCCAAAAGGCAAAAACAACCAAAAAGCATACAACAGCTTTAATGTTGACATTTCCTCCACTAGATTGATTAGTCTGTTAGTATTAAACTCAGCCTGTGACAAAGTTTCACGGCAGGGACAAATCTTTATAATTTTTTTGCCAGTGTATAATATGAATGGCCTGCAGTCCAGTTCCTCAGAGCAACCCTGTTCCCACTTCTCAAGCCTGGCCTCACTGTATGTAATCCTGTTGGCATTCCAAGGACCCACCAGAATGACCATGGAATTTTCTTTTACATCTTACAGGATTCTCACAGCACAGGGACTATTTTGAGTGTCAAGAAACTCTGAAGTTAGCACTGAACTGCTAACTCTGGGGACTGAAAGTAGGCTACCTGTAATTGCATTATCAAATAGTCATGGAACTTTGGGGCTCAAGCAAAGTGTTACTGTTTGTGAACTTCCCACACAGGTTTGTGTTGAATGCTTGGTTAGCTTGTAGCTTTCAGCACTATTCTGGGAGGTTCCAGAGACTTGAGGCAGTAAAGGCTGTTCGGAGGAAGAGTGTAAATTATACCTGGTTACCAGTAATTCCTCCTTGACTACCAATGAGGTGAACTGCCTCCTCCTTTACACACTCTCACTAGCATAATGCGTGTGTAAAACGAACTTTTATTTGCCTGTTTCAATTTCAATTGTTGTTTCGGAGGATTACTGCCTGTCTGCTAACCCAGGCCTACCCCTGGAAGCTTCTAAGCTCCATACAGTCTCACCAAGGCCTAGAATGTTTTCAGCCTCTGAGACTTACTGCTGAGTAAGTTCACCCTTTCTCATTTTCCTGAGCTCTGGGCTAGCTGGTTCAACTCCGCTGTTCTGGCTCAAACTCCTCTCCTAGCTGACTTATTCAATCTGGCTTCTCCCTTGGCCTCTGAATTGCTCTGCTTGGCCTCTAACTCCAGCAATCTTTTCTAATCTTCTGTCTCCTTCTCATTCTCTGGCTCGTTCTGTCTTCACCTGTGTTCTCTCTCTCTGCAACCTGGCTCTCTTATTACTGTCCTGGTAAAAACTGCCTCCTCTCTCTGCATCATCCCTTTAGTAGCTTCCCTTTCCCTCTCTCTTATTGTGAGAGTTGGCGTATCCTATTCTGTCAAATCTCTGATTCATCATTTTCTCTGCCACACAATTAGACATCACTTTCAAACATGGGTGCTTCCGTCTACAAACTAATTTTACCTTCATTGTTGGGATTAAATGCATGTACCTGGACCTAAGCTTTTCTTTATGTGAAATTTGTTCTACACCAGGCTGGCCTTGAACTCAATCTGCTTGCCTGTCTCCTGGATTAAAGCTGTTTGTATTTCAGTAGGATCACACAGACTTTGGATGTGATCTCTTGCCAGAGCAGCCATGTTCTGAATTAAAATTCCTCTACAGCCCTGCCTTACCAAGGGCCCAGAATGTTATTCAGTCTTACTACAGGGCCCAAGTCACCAAAACCAAGTAGCAATGCCTGAAATCTCCTAAATTGTGAGTTAAAATAAATCTTTCCTTTCTATAAGTTGCTTCCTTAGGTATTCTGACTATGCAAAAAATAGTATAGAAAGGCAAGACTCTTCAAATCCTTATTACATAATGAACCCTGTAATAACACAGAAGAGTGGAAAGCTTTAGAACAGCTTAAAGACTTAGCCTTCCGTGTAACAAACAGTAATTCTCTTTCAAATATGTTCTGGGGTGTATGTGTAAAATGGGAGGAAGAAGAAAGTAATCCATAAGAAAGGAATTGTTATGGTCTACTTAATAACTCATTCAACTAGTTTGCAGACCTACCACCACAAAGTGCAATGTGAACTATTGCCACTAAATTTACAACTTAAATACTTCTACTAAAATATCAAGCTGTGTTGCTGAAATAAATGGAAAAGGGAAACCAAAAGTCAAATCAGTAAGAGACCTTGAAATTCCAGGTCCTAAAATTAATAAAGACCTGTGGTGGTTTGAATGAGAACGAGCTCCACACACTCATATATTTGAATATGTGATCTCAGTTGGTGGCAGTTTGCCTAGGATTTGAAAGTGTGGCCTTGGTGGAGGACGCATGTCACCATGAGTGGGCTTTGTGGTTTCTAAAGGCCAGGCTATTCAAAGACAGCACTTTGCCTTGTGCTTGTGAATCTCAGCTACTGCTCCAGAACCATGCCTGCCTGTTTGCCTCCTTGTCTGCCTGGCTGCAGACATACTCCCTCACAACGATGTTCATGGACTCTAGGTCTCTGAAACTGTAAGCCCCAAATAAATTCTTTTAAAAGTTGCCTTGGTCACAGTGTCTTATCACAGCAATAGAAAAGTAAGAAGACAAGAGGTAAATTAATTTTAAAGACCTTTTGCATAGAGAAAAGATGGAATTATTTATCTAAGCAGGTAAAAACAAGTCATTGGAAACTGAGAAAGATCTCAGGGGACATTAGTTTTCACTAACCAATACTCAAAGTAAAAGAATACTGAAACAAGTCACACAGGAACAACTGAACCAGAGAACAAAACAGAATCAACTAGGAAAATAACTTAGAGTAAGTACTATAAATCGGTATCAAGAAAAACTGGTCATCAACTTATGAAAACTCTTCTCTGACATCTCTGCCTAGGAAAAAAAAAACTTATTTTTACAATCATAAAAACCATGGGAAATATTATCCTTAGCTATAATTATAAGTAGTACTGCTACTTATTTAAGGGTGAATTTTTTTATAGTCTATACTTCCACAGATTAGCTGTCCTAAAAGCGGGTAAGACTGTCTAGAAGTATGTGTCGACTCAAAGATAGAGCACTTTTTAGCACACAAGAAAGTAATAGCTCTTACCTCGAAGGGGATAGGTGATAGCTTATTCTGGAGCCAAAGTTGTGTGATAATGGCTAAGGGACACAGATTTAGGTTGCTAAAATTCCATGTTTCTAACATGGTCATGGTTCCAGTAAGTTTTATAGTTACGGAAGAAATAAATCATAAATTCAAACACTTCTCAAATACACTGGTGGGAACATCAGGTAGGTGGGTCACAGAAAAGCAAGGAAATCTCAGCTGTAGGACCCAGATGTTCTTTCTTCCAGAATCCTTAGCCTTTTAGCTGGTCAGAACCAGGAGTCTGTTTGTACATTCCAAAGGATTTACCTAATGGTCACAAAAAATATGGGTCACATACAGAGGAGAATAAATGGCAAGTAAGGGGACTAAAGATGGGCCAAAATAATTAGAATCTGAAATTGCAAAATTCCATCTTATCTGAATCATTAAGTTCTAAAGATCACCAAAATTCTAAAAGCCAGTCAACAGCTTTGTAGTCATAGCTTCTTTCAAGGAATTCTCGTTCACAAGAGCATACTCGAGGCTCTGGGTTTGAGCCCTAGCTTTACATCAATAATTTTAATAATAAAACTATCAACAATGATAATGAAAATACTTAAGGAGACATCCTGATAGAACAAAGAAGAAGGAAATTTACGGTAAAAGTTGACTGACTTGGAGATCCGTATTTTGATCTGGCTGCAATCATACTGTAAACTGCCTCACAGAAATCAAGATATTCAAAAGGGATACCTGAGTCGCTTGATCTATCCAATTCCTGAAACAATGAACACCAAGAGAGAAAGGTCGAAGGGACAAGGGATGAGATGGGAGCGCAAGAAGAGGAAGAGTGGGAGAGAAGATGAACATTTCCCCTAGGAATCTTATTTTGAGAAACGAGAAAGGAGCAAGCCAAAGGGAATAGGACCACCTCACAGGAAGCGACTGAAGCCCAGGTAAAGATGAGTAATCACAGGCGGGACCACACTTGGCCAGGCTGCATTTTTTTTTTTTTTTTCTTGCCTTCCATTTAAACCTCACCCTCATTTCAGGACTCAAAAAGATGGAAGGGTTATTGGATGGATATCTCTGTGTCCCTTCCCAACGTTCCACACAGCCAATCTTTTTATGTTTTTCATTATTAATTGGCTTATTGAGGTGGCAGAACTGTAGTTGTTGGGATGTGCACAGGCTAAGCTCAGCAACGACTCAAAAGTAAATTATTTTTCTTGGTCATCTCGGTTTGTGCCTGATAGCAAATATGACCTCTACGGCCTACCCTGACTGTCTTGTAGCGGGGTGCAAGACAATGAAACAGAAAGGGGGAAAGCAGCTCTCCAACTAAGTTCATCTCTTCCTCTGACCGGCCCAGCCTTTTACTCGACCTCTGGCTCAGGTTCCTATGGCACTGCTGCAGACAAGAACAAGCCCTCTTTGGCTTCCAACAAGTCTCTCGATCCATCCCTTATCGTAGCCCTTCGGCCCGAGCAGAAAAAAGCACAGGAAATTGTCCTCCCTGGACTAGTGCGATCTCGAGGAGCAACAGCGCTCACCCTTTCAAGACAAGCAATACCTAAACTGCTTCCGGCTACAGGCACAATAAACCCCATGAGGCAAGGACTGGAGGCAGAGAGCTAACGGGAAGCGAGCCGGCCAGACGTCCGGGCGTTCGGCCTGTCTTTGCTCTTAGCGCGCAAGACTAAAGACAAAGAAGCAAGGGAAGGCCAGAACGCCGAACGCCACACTCACCCACACAGTCATCCACGATTCTGTTTGCGGAAACGCCGGCCGGCGCCACGCGTGCCTTGTTACGTCACTTCCTGGGAGTGCGCCCGGGACTAGTAACTCGAGCGCCAGACTTGGAGCATCGGGAACTACGAGTCCCATGGTTCCTCGCGCGGCGGCGCGCCTCTGGCCCGGCGAGCGGGCACGGAGGGTCGGAGCACGTTGCTAGTGGGCGCGGCTGGCCTGGGTGGTGGCGGCCTAGCGTTTTCCTGACCCGCGGTTCGGCACCCTGCCCCACGCTCGGCCCGGTCGCCCTGCCGAGGCAGCTTCTTCCGGCCCGTGCGGCGGGAATCCGTGGAGAGCCCCCCACATCCTGAGAGGTAGCCTGGGTCCATGTTCGCAGTGGGGCTTCGGGAGGGGACCAGAGGGCACCTTCACCGCGGGCGTGTGTCTGACGGCAGCGGAGCGCGCCGCTCACAGTGTGTCGCGGCCTCCCTCCTACGGGCGGGAGTCGTCAGCGCTCCGGACCCCACCGCCGCCGGGGGCGGTCGAGAGGGGTCACCCCTGTCCTGGGTCCTTTTGGAGTCTTGGCGAACCTCGATCCTTCTGCGGTTTTACACCCCCTTGCGGCGTGACCCCTTAACGCCCTGCTCTTCCGTCCTTGCTAGCTGGAGTGTCCTTTCAAAAATAACCAACAGCTTCACCTTGGGACTGGAGGGCCATTTCTGACCGCCTGTTTCCAGTCGTGCCGTACTCTCAAGGGAGGCATCCCGTTACAGGCTTTCACCCCCAGATTAGGGTCAGAACGTAGAATCTGTCTGTGGATTAAGGTAGTTTACGCACCAACACATTAACACGCCTACCACCCCCACCCCATCAGAGTTGTGCAGAACCCAATCAGATTGGCAGCGAATCCTGAATTACTCTTCAGCGTATTTGGTCCGTCCAAGGCCGCTTCGAAAAGGTGTCTTGCTGGCCCACGTATTTGTTTGTAGGCAATTTTACTGATAACGGCCTTGGGGAAGACAGATTTTGCAGTTTGTATCTCCCGGTGCGGTCGCTTGAAAATTGTGGACGTTAACCCTTCTGAGGTTGTTGACCCCATTATAAACCTTGAACTAAATGGCTTCCTTTTAACAAGTATGGACAATCAATTTTAGATAACTAGGATTGTGTAATTTATTATATGCCATTATCCAGTTTGAGAGTTAATTTCTGTTCATGAGCGTTGACAAATGCAAAGGGAGCGGTAGTTGAGCCCCAAAGCGCTGTGTGCATATTGAAGCATTGGGGCTTGTTAGATCCAATGATCGAGGGTTTTGGTTTTTGTTTTCTCGGGTAATTGCTGTTGTCATCTTACAGAAAATAAACCTGATTTTGACTTTAAAAATCTTTAAAGATAGAATTTCATTATGTAGCGCAGGCTGGACTTAAACTCATGACCTTCCTATCTCAGACCCCCCTAATGCAGCGATTACAGGCAGACACCAACCACACCTGCCTTAAATTTTTCTCTTAATGGATTTAAAAACCGCCTCAACTACATGTTTATACGATTTCCACAATGAATAGATGTTATGAATTAAAATTTTACGTCTTTGAGTGCTTGTCTGGCTTTTGAGAAATGGAGTTGAAACAATGGTAGCTAATACTTTGTATTTTTTAGTACAAAGTTAAGTGTTTCACACATTCCTTACTCATTTTCTTGTGTAATCCAGTAGGGTAGTTAGCATTATTTTTGTTTTACAGTTGAGGATTAAGTTTGCCAAGGTCAGTCTGGTAAGCAGTGGAGCCAAGATTTGGACCCAGGACCTCTATGCTAACAATCAAACAGGATCTCCTAGGTCACACTCAGAACCGAAAGTTGCTCAACACATAGATTTTTAAAAATATTTTCATAATTCTTAATGCTCCAGTTATCATGTTCAGAAAGAAAATAGCTGGTTAAGGGTGTTACGTTGCTGGAACATGAACTGTGCCCAGACTGGAACCATCATTTCCCTGATTGATTTAGCACAGGTTTACTATACAGCACCTGCTACATAGTATGCACTTAGGGAATGACTGAATCCTGGTGTGTGTGTGTGGGGGGGGGGGGGGCGACATTTAATGCCTTTTTTCTTTTTCAGCAGAATTTATTTGAAACCATTTATATATCTGAGAGATCAGAGGTGCACTTTTAAGGTGTGGTTTTTGTTTTTAATTTGAGTGTAATTTTTGACACTTAATATTGTTTCTAAGATGTAGATAAGATGCCAGGTCTTCTTAAGAACCATCTTATTCTGTGGAAACAAAGTGTAAAGAGTTTTGTTTTGTTTCTGCAGTCGGAAAAGTGACCTTCTGCTTGTGTGTGTCTGTCTGACTGTGCTGAAAGTTTACATCTTTTTAAAGCAGATTAAAAAAAAATGTAAATGCTTGCTCTAGAGTTGCAAGGAATATTTAATTGAAGAATCTGTGGTGACTACTAAATGTCAGCTCAGGTTGTAGTTAATCAAATGCTAATCTTGGTGTTTGACGTGAAGGTATTTTCAAGATGTAGTCACCGGTTGACTTTCAAGCGATTACTGTCAGGAACAACCTCCGTTTTAACTTATATATACTTACGAATGTTTCAGTCTTTTGTCTAACTTTCCTGTTGGTTTTATATTGCTGGGGAAAAAAAATGACTATACAGATTTTGTTCCAAGTGTTTCCTGACGTGGCTTTGAAAACTTTAATTAAATTTTTATTTTTCTACATTAATTACATTTTATTCACTTTGTATCCCAGCTGTAACCTAAAAAATATTTTTATTGATGTAGAGTCATTGTCATTATGATAAATTTTATAAACACTTAAATTTTAAGTACGTTTGACCACATTTACTCTCTTTATATGCTCTACTTTCTTCCCCCTCCCACTTGTCCCCTTCCTTTTCTCAGATACACCTTTACTTTCATGTCAGACATACATAAATAAATGCTTTTATTTATAAGATCTAGGATCCACATGTCAGAGAAAACACAGCAATATTGTCTTGTTTAGTCAAGCTTATTTCACATAACATAGTGAGCTCCAGTTGTACCCATTTCCTGGCAAATGATAGTATTTCATACTTTGGGTTTGTGTGTATGTGTGGTGTATATGTGAGTGCAGGCAGGACTATGGAAGTCAAAATACAACCTCGGCTGTCAATCCTTGCCTTCTACCTTGCTTGAGACATGCTCTCTTTGTTGTACTGTGGCCTAAGCTTTTGCAGATTGTCTTGTGTTCTCCCATCTCATTGTAGGGTCACTGGGATTAAAGATGCGCACCAGTGAAGCCAGCTTTTACATGAGGTCTGGCGAGTCTAGCTCAGGTCCTCAAAAATTCAGGCAAACACTTTACGCACTGAGCAAGTTCCACAGCCCCATAGTTTCATTCTTTATGACTACATTATCTTGGCTATCTGCCACATTTCCTCCATCCATTCATCTGTTAATGTATACTTAGGCTGAGTCCAGAAGTCGGCTGTTGTGAGTAGTGATGTAGTGAACACGAATGTTCAGATATCCTTGCAGTATATTAGCTTGTATTTTGTGTGGGTGTGTGTATTACCAGGAGTGGCATCACTAAATCAAGGTAGTAGTTCTGTTTTTAGTTTTTTCTGCATTGGCTGATCTGATTTACATTCTCATCAGTAGTTTTAATATCTCTGGGGGAATATATATGTTATGTGGGTATCTGTGTTTGTATATTGAGTAGATTGTGGGCATGTGGACATCATACAACAACCTTGGGTTTTTTGTTGTTTTTTACTTTTAGTATATTTTTAATTTTCTTAAAATATTGAGCATCTACAGATGAAGACAAAAATTAAATTATGATTTCATTAACAAAATGTAATGAATAGAATTAAATGCCACAAATAATTCTTAGGCTTTTGGTTAGGAAATCTTTTTTTTATATATTAATTACAGTTTATTCACTTTGCATGCCAGCTGTAGCCCTCTCCCTCATTCCCTCCCAATCCTACCCTCCCTTCCTCCTCTCCTCCCATGCCCCTCTCCAAGTCCACTTGGATAGGGGACAACCTTGGGTTTTTAATGTTGTCCTATAGATCTCACATGTTCTGCTGTTAGTTATTTTTATATAACTGTTTCTCGGTTTCCCTCTTACCCCAGCCATCATCCAAATAATTGAGACTGTGTTATATTATTTTAACAAGCTTACAGCATAAGAACTGAGTAGTTATTACTCTATTCTTAACCCTCTTTTGGAGGTTGATCTCATGCTTGTTACTAGTCCTCAAGATCTGGGTATATCTATCCACATTGTGTAAACTACCTGATTGGCTATACAGCCCATACCTGGGCAGGGCAGATGGGGCAGGTGTGGCCAAGGTTCCTGGGCTTGGAGAGGACAGAGAGAATTACAGTGGACATATGAAAGGCAAGAGAGGACAAAGGAGGATGCCATAGTGGGTTAGGGTGGAGAAGAAACCACGTGGGCCAAAAGAAAGGACTCCAGTAATGGCGTGGAAAAAGCCCAGATAAAGAAAAAAAGCAAGTGCCATGGGATTATATATAGAAGGTAGATGAGATGAGGAGGATTAAGGCGGATGGCATTTGATGGGGCCTAGGAGATGGATGGTGAGGATATTGAGACAGCATAATAAAATATCTGCCCTGGCCAAGGTAAATAAGGCAATTATAAAATCTAACAGGTGTCTGTGTCTTATTTGTGATAGCGGGTTAGATAATACCTCTGTGTCTTTACCTGCTCCAATTCTCTGCTGATGTTTCCTAGACTTCTGCCCATCAAAATCTCCTCCATTTTCTTCCTTTAGCTCCTCCTCCCCTGGCTGGCAGGAACTCCAGCCCTGTTCTTTGCACTGTTTAGCAATTGGCTATAAGCTGCTTTTTTGGAGTACCAGGGGACAATTGGGGAACCATGTTTACACAACATTGAAACAGGAGACTCTCAGAACAAGGATTGCAACCAGATATGGGAGGGGGGATAACAGAAATCAGCATTTGAATTACACAATAACCTTATACCTACATTTTGTCTTGCTTATTTTAGTCTGACTGTTTTAATTCATCTACCTTGT